TTGAAGGCCTGTACTTACGATGGGGCTTTTGGGGGCTTTGCCCCCTTTCTTAAAGGCACTGCCCCTCAAGAATTTCTCCTGTAAGTGCTTTTTTTCAATCATTTTAAAACATTTTAAAAAGGTGTGTACTACTTTAAGTAGAGTAGGGTGCTGTAGTTGACTAATTCCCACACTAAGCAAAGGGGCTGGAGTAGGTGACCTCTAGGATCCCTTCTAACTCTGTGTCAAGAAACTGGTCTCCTTTAAGAGAGTTTTTCTGCCTGTTAGCTTTCTTTACTATAGAAGACATCACCCCTACCTGCCAGCTTGTTATCAGAATTGTTGCTTAGGCTGGCAGAAGTGATTAACTTGCAGTAGCCGAGAACTGTCATCTAAAGTGGTTGACGGCTTGCAATGTAGAGGTCTATCCTGGTAACAGCTTTCTATTGGCTAAATGACTTTTCTTTCTGCACTGAGAACTTCAGTCCCACTAAAAAAAATAAATCAATCTGCCCCACAAGCCACAAAATCCTTGCTACGGGCCTGCCTCCTTCCCACCCTATGTTTTTATTGGCAGCCCACATATTTTTGTACGTGTATTCTAGCTCTGGTTTTAATCGTTTTAATTATGTGTTTTTGTTTGGTTTTAATGGCTTTCAATCTTTAATCTTTTAGGCACTTTGGTGGCCCTGATGAGGGCAAGAAAGCAGGGTACAAATTCTATAAATAAAATTAAAAATGAATGTATGCAATGATTTCAGTTGACATTTGGGCAACATGCCAAACTTTTGTGACCTATTCTTTGACTTACAATTGTAAGTTTCTCGGTGGCTCCAACATTACCTCTTCTTCAAGAAAACTTGAGACTTCATCAAATCTGAAAACAGCATGAGCTACTTTTTCATACCTCATTGCGAATACACATGGCCAGGGCTGCTAAGGCAACTCTATGAGAACATGAGAGATTTCACCAAATCTGTTTTCACAGCTAGAGATAATTAAACAATAATCCTCCATTTCCAGAACATTATAGTTAAAGCTGTAAAATGTCACAACTGAATAGTGCTAAGGAAAGTGAAATGTCATGTGCAGAGTATTGGCTCTATAAGTTTTAAAAGGCTGTATAACCATTTATTTGGTGCATCACTTCATTACTTATATTAATAAATCATGCATTGAGCAGAAGTAATAAAGACTGTTTAGCTGGGAAACTAATCTATGAAAATCTATGGAGAAATTGAGTTATTTGAGGTACAGAACCTATGAATTATGATCAATGCAGACAGTCTTTTTATTTAATTCAAGAAACTGCAGTAAAACTATATAGCATGAACTGTGCTAAAGCATGACATTGCTGTTATATCATTTCACAGACTGTAGCTCTATGAATGGCTATTAGCCATGACAGCAGTACGTGGCAGAATATCAGTTGCTGAAGGCAAACAACATGACAATACAGCTGCCTTCATAGCCTGCATGTGAACTCTCCAGTGGCATCTTGGGAAGAAAATGCTGGAGGAGATGGACCCTTGGGCTCAGTTCAGATGTTTTGAATAAACCAAAGTTTGTTTGGGATGAGTGTGAACTATGGTTACTAACTTCCAGATGGAGCATAAAGATTTCTCAGAATAACAACTGATCTCCAGATGACATAGATCAGTTCCCCTAGAGAAAATGGCTGCTTTGGAGGGGGGATGCACTTTTTACTGTGATGAGCATCCTCACTGAAAGGGCTGGGTCAGTTTGGCATGGCCCTCCTCTTATATATAAGGGGTCCCTATGTGGTGCCAATCTGGTGTAGTGGTTAAGTCCCAGTGTGGTGTAGTGGTTAAGTGCACGGACTCTAATCTGGGAGAACCAGGTTTGATTCCCCACTCCTCCACATGCAGCTGCTGGTGTGACCTTGGGTCAGTCACAGTTCTTTTGGAGCTGTTCTCTCAAGAGCAGTCCTTGAAAGAGCCCTCTCGGCCCCACCTTCCTCACAGGGTGTCTGTTGTGGGCAGGGGACCGGAAAGGAGTTTGTAAGCCGATCTGAGACGCCGAGTGAAGGGCAGGGTATAAATCCTCCTCCACATGCTCTCCTTCTCTTAAGAGCAGCAGACTTTGATCTAGAGAACTGGGTTTGATTCCCCACTCCTCCACATGCAGCTGCTGGTGTGACCTTGGGTCAGTCACAGTTCTTTTGGAGCTGTTCTCTCAAGAGCAGTCCTTGAAAGAGCCCTCTCGGCCCCACCTTCCTCACAGGGTGTCTGTTGTGGGGAGGGTAAGGGAAAGGATACTGTAAGCCTCTCCGAGACTCCAAGTGCAGGGCAGGGTATAAATCCAATCTCCTCCTCCTCCAACTTCACCAGTACCTTTCCTAGTGCCCACCAAGTGTTTTAGAAAGTGGATGTGAGGCTTTCCCCAGAAAAGTTCCTGATTGGACATTGGAATTTTTTTTTTTAAAGTTACTTTGGCAGGGTTAGCTGCCACCACAGCACAAGGATCTTCACTGTGTGACTTCAGACGCCATTTTGTGGTAGTCATTTTATGACTGCAACCACTATGCTGTGTCAGAATTCTAAAGGTGCCTGTAGGTTCGGAAAGGTTAGGGACCCCTGTTAGATATCATACCCCCTTTAACTGCATCACAGATGCTCATAATTTTTACTCAGCTTGTGCCCATACCCTTATATTTTCCACTCCCCCTCCTAGATGTGGTACTTCATTAACCTACTACGACAATCTATTCTTCCCTCCCATAGCCATTAAAGAAATGGAAGGAAGGAAAAGAGATATATCCAATGATGCTGGGTGAAAGTGACCTTGCGGTAGAAGTGTAAGGTGTGAACAGCTATATGAGATGAGGAGAATGAGATGCATAAGGTCTGAATGGGGAAAGAGCTTTATTGGTGGTAAGGAGAGGGAACCAACCGAGGGGCTATGGCTTAGGGGAAGGGTCTCTGCTTTGCAGGCAGAAGGTTCAATTTCCAGCATCTCTAGTTAAAAGGACCAGACAGTAGGTGACATGAAAGACTTCTTCTGCCTGTCTGAGTAGACAATACTGACCTTGATGGACCAATGGTCTGATATCGTTTCGGACAGCTTCGTGTGTGCATATGAACATTAAAGACCCCAAAGTCTAAATTTTAGGCAAGTGTCCACTGTTGCGTCACAGGAAAAGAATTCCAATTGCCCCATGGCATCGTACAGTAAAGAGCATCGGTGATAAAGCCATTTGGTGGTTCATTTTCTGTGACAGCCCTGTTTCTAGCTATTGAACAGAAATATTAGAATTTCCTGGTGGCACCTCTCAGGGATCATCTGAAACTGCAAATACGTAGTCTGTAAAATCATTCAGGTTGAAACATTAGATGGAAAGTCAGCAGGGGTTTCAAGTGTAGCATCTGATTCTTTATCTTATCTGGAAGGCAATACATCTTGGAATGAAGGCAATTACTTCTTTCTAGTGGACTTACAGCTAATATGATTATTAGACCCCCCTTATAAGACACTGAAAGTTCTGAAAACCACTCTTCTGAGGTCCCGTTCACACTAGGCGATTTGGGCCGGGAGCGGGACAGTTCGGGGCCGGATCAAACCGGCACGATCACACCACAACATCTGGGAAGTGTCTTGCTTCCGTGCCCGAACTGTCCCTTCCCCGCAAAAATCCGCCGCAAACTGAACCACCTACCTTAGGTGGTTCAAATGGATGCGGCGCGGCAAGCGGGGCGTTTGATCGCCGGCGCGTCCTTGCGCCGGCACAACCCCGGCCCGGATCCGAACTGCGCATGCTCCGACATGCGCAGTTCGGCCGGCTAGGCGTCTGACCTGTGTTTTCTCCCCGGTGTTTGATCGCGCCGGGGAGAAAAGGCGCCGCGGCCAGGGGATCCGTGGGATCCCGCCGCGGCGTCTCAACGTTGGCGTGGCTTTTAAAAGCCGCGCCTTAAGAGGCTTTTCCCCTGCCGTGTGGCAGGGGCCTGAGATGAGTAAATTTTGCAACTGACTCTTATCTTGCAGTACACTGATAGCACACAAAACTACATCAGAAGTAGAACCAAGAATCACTAAGCAGGAAGGGGTCTGAAGGCCATGAAGTCCCCGGCCCCAGAAGTGATGAAGCCACTTTAGTACACTGCTGCCTTAGAATCCCTTCATTCGAAATAATCTCCCACAAGTCAAGTCAGCTACTTTTATCACAGTTTCTAGATGTGCCCTTAGAGCCTGATATAATCTCATAAACGCCTGTGCATTTACGTCAAGATCTTTTATCTTCATTCATACAAAACAAGCTTCAAACTAATAAGTATCTTTTCTTTAAGCACGTGCTCAAACGACCCCCCAAAGTAGGTTGAACCGGAACACAGAATAGGGTTGCCATCCCCCGATGGGGGTGGGGGTTCTCCTGCTTTTGGGTCCCCCAATCTATGGCCACTCAGCTGGCCAGTGGGGGAGCCCCGCCCCCAAGCAGCCCCACCCGTGCCCGATGTGTCCAGAGTGATGACATCACCCAGAGGTGATGTCATTGCGCAGGGCATGTAATGTGGGGGATGCTTTAGCATTTTGGGGGAAACTCTATGGTGACCATAGAGTTTTCCTCAAATGCTAGTGCGCCCCCCGCACAATGATGTCACTTCCGGGTGACATTATTATGGTGTGTGTGCTTTGTGTGCGTGCCAAAAGACTCCAGGAAGAAGACTGGAGCCCCCTGTTGGAATGCAGTAAGGACCTAGCAAATCTTGCACTTTGTTGATCACAAAATTGCCTGATGATACAAAGCGATATAAGTTACAACATCCATTCAGTATTGCCACCTGAAGACCTCCAAAGTAAAGAACATAGCAAATTAACTCAGGACATTATCAATACTTCATTAAAATATACTGTCCTTGTAATGTACTAATTGAAGATGCCTTTTGCATTTAGGGAGCGCAACCTCATTTCCAGGAGTATTTTTTTTAATTAGGAGAGGTTACTTGAAATAAGGAACAGGCAGCAGGCCTTTATCTCATCACTGCTGAAGAGGCAATCTCTCCTACCTTTATCAAAAATTTCCTTCAACACTCCCCGCTTGATGAGTTCTTCTCTGCTTTGCCTCATTGAAATTTTTCTTTCAAGTGCTACAAAAAGAAAAAAAAAAGGTCATAGTTATTCACAACAACAGGAACATTTGTAAAGGTGCAGATTCAGAACAATGGTTTCATTTCAATTATTTTCCTGCATATTAACCCATTCCCTTTTCTAGGCACATGTGTGCATCACTAGCGACTACGTGTTTTCTGCCAAGGAGTGATGGGGCCGGATGCCATGATCTTAGTTTTTTTGATGTTGAGCTTCAAGCCCACTTTTGCGCTCTCTTCTTTCACTCTGAGCAAGAGACTCTTTAGGTCCTCTTCACTTTCTGCCATTAGAGTGGTATCGTCTGCATATCTGAGGTTGTTGATCTTTTCCCCAGCAATCTTAATTCCCGCTTGTGATTCATCCAGACCAGCATTTTGCATGATGTACTCTGCATATATATTAAATAAGCAAGGTGACAATATACATCCTTGTCATACTCCTTTTCCTATGCTAAACCAAAGCTAGCCATGATAAAGGACAGAAAAGGTAGGGACCTAACAGAAGCAGAAGAGATTAGGAAAAGATGGCAAGAATACACAGAAGAACTATATAAGAAAGACCTCGATGTCCTTGACAACCACGATGGTATAATCACTGACCTCGAGCCAGACATCCTGGAATGTGAAGTTAAATGGGCCTTAGAAAGCATTACTAACAACAAAGCTAGTGGAGGTGATGGTATTCCAGCTGAGCTATTCAAAATCTTAAAAGATGATGCTATTAAAGTGCTGCACTCAATTTGCCAGCAAATTTGGAAAACGCAACAGTGACCACAGGATTGGAAAAGGTCAGTATACATTCCAATTCCAAAGAAGGGTAATGCCAAGGAATGTTCAAACTATCGCACAATTGCACTCATATCACACGCTAGCAAGGTGAAGAAGCAGTGTTTCTGGCTCCCAGGTTAAGGCAGAGGTCAGGGGGCCAAGTGAGGACTGGTGATCTCAGTCAGCAAAATTCTTCACTCTGAAACTGCTTTTATGCGACCTGAGCTCTTGGAATTAAAGCAAGGTATCATTTTAAATATATAAATTCCAACATTGTAATATTCAGAATCCCCCTCATGGATCACTGCCTTGTCATGGTGAGGGGGCTTGCGTGGTTCAATGAAGCTGTGGGCTTGAAGCTCAACATCAAAAAAACTAAGATCATGGCATCCGGCCCCATCACTCCTTGGCAAATAGAAGGGGAAGTCATGGAAGTAGTGACAGACTTCACGTTCCTGGGATCCCAGATCACCGCAGACTGTGACAACAGTCATGAAATTAAAAGATGCCTGCTCCTTGGGAGGAAAGCGATGGCGAACCTAAACAGCATGATAAAAAGTAGAGACATCACCCTGCCAACAAAAGTCCGCATGGTCAAAGCAATGGTATTCCCAGTAGTCATGTATGGCTGCGAGAGTTGGACTATAAGGACGGCCGAGCGCCGAAGAATAGATTCTTTTGAACTATGGTGCTGGAGAAGACTCTTGAGAGTCCCTTAGACTGCAAGAAGATCAAATCAGTCAATCCTAAAATAAATCAACCCTGACTGTTCCCTGGAAGGCCAGATAATGAAACTGAAGCTCATATACTTTGGCCACCAAATGAGAAGGGAGCACTCACTGGAGAAGACCCTGATGCTGGGAAAGATTGAAGGTCAGAGAAGATGGGGACGGCAAAGGATGAGATGGTTAGACAGTCATAGATGCAACGAACATGAAGTTGAGCAAACTTCAGAGGATGGCGGAAGACAGGAAGACCTGGCGTGATCTGGTCCATGGGGTCGTGAAGAGTTGGACTCGACTATGCGATTGAACAACAAAACAAAGCGATTTGAAAGTGGATGAGAACAAAGAATCGCAGTAAAAGGAGTTTTGCTAACTTCAGGGCAAAAGTGTGCTGGAAGCAGTACGAATGCAGATTCCTGTAAAACAAATGCAGAAACAAGAAAACCCCCAGTCACAAACCAGAAGGGAAAGTGGGAGGGAATGCAGAATGGAATAGGATGTGCTCAGAAAATGTGGCAAAATATGGGTGCAGAAACGGCCATTGTGTGGACTGCCGTGGCTGATCTACAGTGGCAGCAATGACAAGGCAGCCAATGGATTTAGACTGGAGTAATGCTGCATAGGATTGCACTGCAAATTACAGACTCCCAAACTTTCTAACCGAATTCTTTTTAGATGCTAAAAGGACTTAACTGAGGCTATCGTACGTTGGTCACATGATGAGAAGGCAACACTAATGCTAGGAAAATTTGAAGGCAGCAGGAAAAGAGGAAGACCCAACATGAGATGGATTGACGCTATAAAGGAAGCCGTGGCCCTCAGTTTGCAAGACCTGAGCAAGGCTGTTAATGATGGGACGTTTTGGAAGACATTAATTCATAGGGTCACCATTAGTTGGAAGCGACTTGTTGTCACTTAACACACACACCCCTTCTGGCTGCATAACAATGCCAGGAATTCAAAGTGGCCTGAAAAATCTGTGTTCCTTTCAGATCCTGTTATGTTGGTATCAAGCAAAAGATAAGATCTGCTGTTCCTGTTCTTTGCTTTTCCTGTGATGCGTGAACGACGCTAGAGAAACGTTCTATTTCTCAGTCTCTATATAATTCTTCTCCCAGTTTGATGGCTGGTTCGACAGTGGTTTTAGACGCACGACAGCAAAGTCTGAATCCAGATGCCAGAGTCCGATTTCAGTGGTGCCGGATTCCAACCAAGAAGCATTTGTTGCTATGCAGGTGTCCTTTCAGGAAGTTTGCATCTCTCTTATTTCCTGCTCATTGCAAAAGAAAATTGCATGTGCTGTACCAAACACATCTTCCAGGACGTCAGCACCAGCTCCCACTAAGTTGCAGGTGCAGCGTTTCAGTGGAATTATCGGGCACAGATATTTTGAGCACTAACATCCTCTTCTCTCATCTCCCACATATAGTTATCTATTCAGTGAATCTGGTAGATATTATGATAATTGTGGATGATTTAGAACCAAGATTGCAAGCTCACTTTTTTGCTTCTGTCTCCCAGATCGCACTTGCTTATGTCCTGGTGCCCTGGGAGAAGGTCTAATAAAGTCTCACGTGATCTTATTCTATACTTAAGAACATAAGAAGAGCCCTGCTGGATCAGAGCAGTGGTCCACCTAGTCCAGCATCCTCCTGTCTCACACAATGGCCAGCCAGTTCCTCTGAAGAGCCAAAAACCAGACACAGAGGCAAGGCTTTCCCCTGATGTTGCCTCACAGCGTTGGGATTCAAAGGCTGACTGCCTCTGAATGTGGAGGTTCCCTTTAGTCACCATGGCTAGTTGCCACTGATAGAACTACCCTCAACGAAGCTATCTAATCCCCTTTTAAAGCTGTCTATCCCTGTGGCCATCAGTACATCCTCTGGCAGTGAATTCCACATAATAATCACTCCCTGGGTGCGTTCAGATGGACAGTTAATCCCACCATTATGCCGGCTCAAATTTGATCCCGATCTTTTTAATCCATCCTTGCACGACCAGACATCCCCCGGGGATATCGCCTTACCACGCGCTGCTTCCGCTGTGGATTGTCTAGACGGTGTCCACTGAATGAGGCGTGCGCGCGGTGGCTTTTTAAAAAACAAAAGTTTGTGCATGCGCATAGGAATGATATTGCGTCCTTGGTTATTTGCACATGCACAGAATCAAGATTTTTTTAAAATGGCGCCCGTTCAGGATAGTCTGACGTCAGACCATCCCAAATGGGCGCCATTTTTAATTTACGCTGGAATGATCAGACGGGGGAAAGTCCACAAGTGGCCCGTAGGAACCGAAAACTTTAAATTTAAAGTAGTATCTTTTTAGTACGGATTCTAAGTGCGGCAAAACAGGATGCTCATGGAAGACGGACGTTTCCCAGATGTTGATGTCTAGACATTACATTTAAATCCACGAGGCACCCATGCCTCGCGCGGATCTAAAGAGCCGTCTGAACGCGCCCTCTGCGTAAAGAAGTATTTCCTTTTGTCCGTCCTGATCCTATTGCTCAACAGTTTCATAGGATGCCCTTGAGTTCTAGCATTTTGGGAGAAAGAAAAAAAGATCTCCTTGCCAACTCTCTCTACCCCATGCATAATTTTATAAGTCTCTTTCGTGCCTCCCTCAACCGTCTCTTTTCTAAACCGAAAAGTCCCACACTCTTCAGCCTTTCCTCATAGGGAAGGGGCTCCAACCCCCCAACCATCTTGGTTGCCCTCTTCTGTACTTCTGTACCGATCATCTCCTGCCTCGTTACACCACCATGACCCCCATTCTTGGTTCCTCCCTGCTTTGGTGGAGGAACAGAGCCATACACAGAAGGGATATGTAGTCAGTAGCTAAGAATAACCCAGACCAAACACAGCCTGTATTCCGGAGGTGTAGATTTCTTGAGTAGGAGGGAGAGTCCCTGAGAATTTCACCCTGACTTTGTTAGAAAAGAAGCAGAAATGTGCTTTTTAACTGCTTATAAAACGGGAATGTTTTTTTCTGTCTTCAGAAGAAATTTAGTGGGCAGTATTCTATATGGGGAGCTGCAGTGGCTCAAGTGGTTAAGACGCTGAACTACAGGCTGTGGAAGGTTGGTAGTTCAGCAGTTCGAGACCCGAGTGTGCCGTATGACGGAGTGAGCTCCCGTCTCTAGTTCCAGCTCCTGCCAACCTAGCAGTTCAAAAGCAAGAAATTGCAAGTAGATAAATAGGTACCACTTCAGTGGGAAGGTAACAGCGTTCTGTGCGCCTCGGTGTTTAGTCATGCCGACCACATGACCACAGAAATGTCTTCGGACAGCGCTGGCTCTTCGGCTTTGAAACAGAGATGAGCACTGCAACCCTAGAGTCGGATTCGACTGGCTTTCGAGCAAGGGAACCTTTACCTTTTTATTTTATATGGACAGAATCCCTGCACATTTCTTCCAACTAGGAAGAAATTAAACAAAAAAACTTATGAGCAGAAGTATGTTTCTTATTGAAACCAAATGGATACAAATACAGAGGACAAAACAAGAGT